CACACACACACACACACACACACACACACACACACACACGCACACACACACACACACACACACACACACACACACAGAGCGGGACTCCAAAGAGGACAAGGAGGCAGTAGAGGACGGGGAATAAGAACAGGAGCAAAAGGAAGAGGATGAAGCCGGAAAAGAAAAGAGCGCGGAGGAAGAAGAGGAAGATGAGGAAGAAAAGGAGAGAGGGAGGAGAAGAAAGAAAGGGAGAAGAAAGAAGAGGTGACGGGGAAGGAGAGAAGTAACAAGACCAGAGGAACAGTGTGCTTTGAAATCCCATTGCATGTCCTACCATACACCCCCCCTGCCGGACAACAACATCTGGCCTGATGCAGGCCCTGCGATCTTCGTCGTCGACGGCGCACATCAAGCCACCACATTTTCAAAAACCTGTGTGTGGACCGCTAGCCTGCAAGCACAACTGGCACCGACACCGGCCCAGGCCCCCAAGTGCCAAAACCAGGCCCGATGCATTCCGGCGCCCATCCGTGTTGCTGGCTGGTGCAGACAACACAGATTGGCCAGAGGGGCCCAAACATACGGGCGGCAGCACAGTTAAAAGGAAAAAAAAAAAAAAAAAAAAAAAAAAAAAAAAAAACTGTCCCATGCCCCTAGACAGTTCTTTTGTAACGGACGCTGAACCCGATATTCAGCTACAAGAAGAGCCACCTCTTTCAGAAATAGAAAAAAGAAAAACAAAGAAGAAAGAAAGAGCTGCCCAAATCTCAGACCGAAAAAAAAAAAATAATAATAATAATAATAAAATACAAATCCTTGTGATGTGCAATAGCAATTTTGTGGTTCAGTAACTTCTTTTTTTTCTTTTTTTAAGTTTTTTAACTTTTTTTTATTATTTTAGCATTGACCATATTGAGCACACCCTGGGCCAAGATTCATTCCGCTGCCAGCGATTCCGGGAGAACGACATTCTGCGGTCTGTATCTCTTGGTGCACGACAGAGGCATCTTGTTCCTTTTTTTTTTTTTTTTTTTTTTTTGCTCGTTCCACTACTTAACATTCAACACATACCTGGACTGTTTGTGAACCACATACATTCTTGAGTTCTTAACCGATCAAATATTCTGAATGGATAGGGAACGTTTCCTGGTCCAGATTCATTCAGCATCATACTTGCAACCGCTCGCCCACACGCCCATGCGGTGCAGTGCGTCATGCAACGCACAGAGCATGCCCCATGCACCCCACCAGCAACAATTTATTTTTCCTTTTTTCCTTTTTTTTCCTGTTTTCGTGGTTGCAGAAGAGTCTACTTGCCGAAAGCAAACACACACAAAAAAAAAAGAGAGAGTGTACTTCGGTACTACCTAAGGAAGAGATCATGTTCACATACACGCCATTGTGAAGCCAGAAAGGAAAATAAAAAAATATTCAGAAAAAAAGGAAACAAAGGAAGGAATCTTGTCATAAAAAAAAAAAAAAAAAAAAAAAAAAATTGAAAAAAAAAAAAAAAAAAAAAAAAAAAAAAAAAAAAAGCACCAAGGACAGCTGTTGTGGAGCCAGAACGGGGGGGGGGGAAACAATGACAGGACAGACGACCATCGTGTACACCACTACGACACTGTATAATCATTTTTCACATGCAATTTTCAATTTTAAAATTTTACCATTTTTTTCCGATTACAATTTTAAGATGATGATGATGTGAATATACGGTCAAGAATGTTCTGGAATAAGACAAAGAAAAAGAATGAAGGAAAAGCAACACAAGAGAGGAAAAAATATTAAAACAGAAAACATGATGGAAAGAAGAGGGGAGAGGCAAGGCAATCATCAAAATTGCACACAAGACAGTCACAAAAGGACGAGGCGAATCGGGAGATGAAGACGATCGTCAAAATTCCACACAAGAGAACCACAAGAGGATGAGCAGATCAAGACGCATCGTTCGGCAACACTTCCAACTACGAAGAAACCGTACTTCAGCTACTCTCTTTGAAATCAAACGAGGAGAGAAAGGGGAAGAAGGGGATCACACTCAGGTCATCAATCAACGATCGTGGACGTCGTTCAAACTGTACACTCGAAAGAGCCAACGGGCAAAAAAAAAAAAAARACTCGTCCATCAGCACCAAATCCCTACACTATTCCTTATATTCTAAAAACAAAGAAATTTTTTCGCCGAGCCGTTCCCGGGATCCGAACAATGGCTTTTCCACGATCCATTCTCGGAATGCAACAGCGGCCGGGCCCGTTTTCCCACTGCCTACCACAAGCATCTCGTTGCCAAAAGCGTCGACTATTTTATAGATTGACGTCTTTACGATGTCGACAAGAGCGTAGATGCGCTCATACGCACTGCTTGATTGGGCGAGACCCATGCCTGCGCCGCCATCCCACGACAGCAGGTTTAAGGACCCGAGCAATCGGCTAACGACATTAGTACCTGACGACAACCCCGGCCGCACCATGACATTTGCTAGCCCAGATGGATTATTCCCCCCAACAGCCTCAAGGGCCAACAAGCACGACAGAAGCGAGGACATGACAGCAGAATTGCAACCACTTAGCTGTGCAATGCCAAAGGCATCCTCTTTCCGAGATATCGCAGTGAGCGCCGCGGCCGACCGAGCACCCCATGAGCAAAGCTGTTCCATACAAAAAAAAAAAAAACAAAAAAAAAACCCAACAAAGAAACAAACAAACAAAAGCCCGTTAAAAACAGTTCTCAGAGATACATGCGTGCAAACCAACCAACCAACCAACCAACCAACCAACAAGCAAACAAACACATCCAAAAGCCCCATAAATGATAAAACACTGTTGTCGAAGAGACATGCGCGCAAAGTGCGACTGAGAAATTGCAACCCCACGATTGCTCCGTACAAACGGAATGAGCATGACCGGCCCAATTTTCATATAATGCCCGGCTCGAAGCTCTTTTCTCAAAGAGGTCAGACGATCCACGAAAAGAGTAGACAGGACGAACATTCAGGAAACCACAGAGCAGACGGGAGGAACATTCCGGAAACCACGAGCGAACCGGCATCTGATGCGTGCACAACACGTTCAATGCCGCAAATGGTTCTCAGAAAGCGGCCAGAACCTCGATGTACAAAAGTGGTTTTCCGAAGGAGTGAGGAAGCACCACGTAGAAATGCCACCACCATCTTCCCACAAACATAATGCACCGCAATGACTTGCTGTTCGCTGCCGCCGGTGGCCCGTCGACCCGAGGCTGTAACATAGGTAGGCCAGATTCGTAATTTTGTTTGGCTGAGGGCTATAACCGAAAGACCTGCCTGTAAGGAAAATTCGTGAGGGACATATCTGCAAATTTGGGGAAAATATACGCCCTCACTAACTAGAATTTCCTACAGCTACCCTAACTGCGAATAGCAGGCCCGGACTACCCCTAGGACAGACAGGCCCTACAGGCCTAAGCTGATAGACGGTCCTATAGCCTATAGCCGTGTCGGGAGAGGCCCTAGAGGCCGAAACTGAAATGGCACCGGTCGGTCCAGTCAGTCTGGTCTAGGTCTAGGCTAGACTAGTGTCGTTCTATTAATAGAATGTAGGAATCGGTTCATGGCTTTTGGCAGTTGGTACCGTGTACATCGCTGCTGGGCAAAGCATGAACTGGAAGTGGTGACAGCTTCAGCGTTGGGGAAGACAGACATAGCCGGACCTGCGAAGCCTCGGCCATAGCTGGGACCTGCGCTGTTCTCTGACAGCACGCGGGGCTGTTCAGAGGTCCGGGCTATCTGAAGTCTGCTTGAGGCGAGAGAAGTTGGTGCCCTGCTGAACCCTCCTCAGGAGTAGGGTGTCAGGGTGTGTGGCACTTCAGCCATAGCTGCAGCTATCTTCCTCAGAGCTCGTTGTTGTCAGGAGAGGCGGCGCTGCTACAGACTTCCACCCGTGAAGTCGTCCGGCACTTCATCATCATCGGACACTGTGGCGCTGGTCTTCTTCTTCAACCTCTGAGAGGCGCTTGGCCTCAGAGACCTGTTTCAGGGCGGCGCTTCCCTCTGGAGGCAGTATCTGGGTGGCGCTTGATGTTTCAGGGACTCAGGGGTAGTTCTAGCGGTTACTCAGGGTTGGGGAGTGAGGCGCTGCTCATTTCTGAGCAGCACACCATGATTCTGAGGTTATTCTGACATTTGGAGACTCTGGGTTTAATAAACAGTGTTAATACTGGGTTTGAACTATCATTTCTTCGTTATTTCCTGGATGTGATCTACTAGGCTTTCCTTTGTGACTGGTTGTGAGGATTCTAAGGAGTGAATTGCACTTTCAGTGTTTTCTGTCATATCGCATGGTCAAGTCTTCCGCTGTGTTTATCTCTCCCTGTGCGGTGTGATACTCCCATCCTCTCCCCTTCCTTCTGTGTGTGTATGGGCATACCTGCAAGTGTATGTGAGCGAGTGTTGGTCTTCTGACAACAAACAACCAGGTTCATAACAGCACACTGATAATAAATCTATTACAAGCTAGCTATCTCGAATTCGGTCACGTACAAGCTATCTGGTTGTGTACAGCCATAATGAGGGTGCATTGAATTGGGGGGAAGACGGTAGGCAGGCATACCATTCCATGAGGATATCTTGAACCTCACAGATTCTTCTCTCTCTCTCTCTCTCTCTCTCTCTCTCTCTCTCTCTCTCTCTCTCTCTCTCTCTCTCT